GCTGGTGGAGGCTAGCGGGAATGCCTCTCACCGCGGCGCGGCAGCCGAGGTAGAGACCCCCAGCCGTGGGTCCCACCACCTCCCGGAGTAAGACCGCCAGGCAGAGCCATGCCAGGGCGAGGCCAGGCAGGCAGGGCCGTGGACTGCAGCACTTGCTATCTGTGAGGCGAACATGATTAACCCCACTTTATACACTGGGAAACAAAGGTCCAGAGAGCCCTGGGGACAGTGTTGGGACACAGCGAATAAATGACAGAGCCAGGCCTCAACTCCACCCCCGCCATCAACAACAAAGAACTCTAAACCTGCAGGTCCCGTAGGGCAGAGGAAGCCGGATACCACGTGCCCAATCAGGGTCGGAGTCCCAGCACCCCCCCAGCCTGAAACACGGCAGGTGCGTGTGGGCCTGCCCAGGATCCTGACGGGATAGAGAACCGAGGAAAAGGACTGCCATGTGACCGGGGCACCCAGGGGGAGGGAGTGCACACACGGATCAGATGGTTTAGTGGGAGCAGGGGCAAGGGCTGCAGCGTGCCTCTCCCGCCCCGCACTGTGCCCTGTGCATCTGCGAGGACCTTGCCCCCGCCCCGTATGTCGTGGACAGCACTAGACATGCGTATGCAGGGGCCAGCAGGCCGTGCGTGGAAGGCGGCAGGACCCCACAGGCCAACTGCACAGGTGGAGTCCCACATCTGAAGCAGAAGCACCTCCGTCTCTGAGCTTTGCATTACACTTGCTTCCTCCTTTTGCCCAGAGTAAACAGAGATGAACAGTCTTACGGTCTCTGCTAACTAGCTCAGAACTCTTTTTTTGTTTGTTTTTTGGAGAGGTTTTTGCTACAGGGCCCGTGCGCTCTCCAGAAAGACATAGACAGAAAGTGAGAAATCACCCCCCTGGGGGCATGGCCACGCCGCAATCCCTTCTCCTCCATTCTCCTCTCGGGATCTTGGGCACACATGCACACGTGCCTGGCATGTTTTAAGCCACCAGGTCTGGGACTCGAATCATGGTCGACTACACGGGAGACCAGCCATTGTGCCAACTGCCGGTCCCCTGAAAGCTTTTTGCTCAGGCGCTCCTTAGCAATGTAGCTACCAATCACCAGACCCCGCCCAGAGCCATGGGGACCGTTAAACAAAGGCCCGAAAAGTGCCCTCAGAAATAATTAGCCTGCTTGATTCAGCTTCCGTAACTGCTTTCATGAAAACCCCTTTTTCTCTTCACCCCCTCCTCAGTTTCCACTGTAATCCCCATATCAGCCCAGAATTGACTGTGAGCTTTGCCTTTATAAGCACCTCTCTCCTTGCACTTGGGGCTGCAGGGTTTTGAGAGACATGAGTCCCCCTCTATGCCGCCAGCTTAATCAATAAAGTCCAATAAATCTGCCTAGGTCTGGATGGCCTTTTACTTCTCGCTGACTAGGCTATCACAATCTGATAGCTTGAGAAGCACACTGGGCGCATGCGCATACCTAAAACCCCAAGATGAGAATGGAGCAGGGGCTGCAGCGTGGCCACCGCCCTGGGGGGGTGCTTTCTTACTTTCCCTCTCTCGCTATCTCTTCAGCGAGTGCATGCACCCCACAGCTAATTTTTCTAAATATGTGCACGAGCACACACACACACACTGTTATGTACACGTGACGGGTGGGACTGGGTACTACATAGCTTGCCCATGGACAAGGATCAGGGAAAGGACTTGTTTGGGGTACACTCAGCACATCAGCAGAGGAAAATCTTACTAACACTCTAACAAACAATGGCAGGAGTTTAAAGGTAAATTCAAGACAGGGACTGAAGCATCCGTGAACACGTGTCAGTGAAAGGCTCTACTTGGCCCAGCTCAGGGAGAGCGGCTGTCTGCCGATCTGCAGCGCTGGAAGCCACATGGAGTACTAGGGCTTGGTTCCTGGTACGTGCATGCCTGTCCATCATCCTAGCTGGCTGGGAAGGCTAGGCGGATGCCAGTGTGAACCCCTGTTGAAGGTGCCCGTCTCTCTCAAGCAATAAAAAGAGAGGGGACCAGCAGTTAGAGTAATGGCTATGTTGCTGGACTCCCACGTAGCCGACAGCGGTTAGAGTCCCGGACCCGGTGACTTAAACTAATGCTGGGTGCCTGTACGTGCATGCCCAAGATCCTGAGAGGAGAATGGAGAAGGGATTGCGGCATGGCCATCCCCCCTGTGGGGGGATGATTTCTCGCTGTCTCTTTCTTTCTGTCTCTGGTCAGTGCACACGCCCTATAGCAAAAACCTCTCCAAAGAGAAAGAAAGAAAGAAAGAAAGAAAGAAAGAAAGAAAGAAAGAAAGAAAGAAAGAAAGAAAGAAAGAAAGAAAGAAAGAAAGAAAGAAAAAGGAGCTGGCTGAGTGGCCTGGTGCTTAAGACAGCTGGACCCTGCAGGGCTGACCCTGCAGCCTGGGTCCTGGACCTGGCATCTTGAGCCAGGCACGTGTGCTTGTGTGCCTGAAATCCAGAAAGGAGGGAGAGATGAAAGGATTGTGGTGTAGCCATCCCTCATGGTGGGTGGGGACAAATGCTCTCTCTCTCTCTCCACCTCTCTCCAATAAGCACATGCACCCTCTGCCCAAAAAAAGAAAAAGTAAAAAAAGGCTCTTGCTAAGAACTCGCTCATCTCTGGAGTTATTCGGACGCTCGTCAGTCTACCCGACCAGCTCAGGTCGTCACGACTGCAGGGTGGCTTCACGTCAACGCACGTCATGCAGCCGTGCTCAGAGGCTGCCGGAGCGCTTCCCGCTGAGTCCGTGCAGACCCAGAGGCTGACATCGCAGGAGCGGAGCGGGAACTGTCCGCGCTCGGCTGCTTAAATTGCCGACAACCTTGTACAAAGCCAAAGTGACGAGGCGGGCCTCTGCTGGGCAGCGAGGACTGTTTCCGCCTGCCCATGTTCTTTAAAATCACAGTCAGATAAAAAGGAAAGAAGCCAAAGTCGCCGCCACAGTCAATGATTCCTCCTCACAGCGGCACTGTTCCGCGAGATTTTCAGGGTGTTTTTATTTCTTCTTCTATGAGCCAGAGACACAGAGAAAGAGAGAGAAATAGAGAGCAAGTGAGCGAGCACCACCCCCCCCCGCCCCGCCCCAAACAAGGTTCAATGCCAAGACCTACCCTAGGCCCAGCCAGCCCCAGCTGAGAGGCACGTGTGCCCAGGGGACTCAGGGAGGTCTCTGGATGCAAATCTCGAACTTTCCCACGTGGGTCAGCCTTGCAAAGCTTGTTTCACCACGGTACCACTATCTGGCCGCTTGGTTATTTTTATTTTTTGAGATTTTTGCTAGAGGGAGCGTGTGCTCACCAGAGGGACAGAGACAGAAAGTGAGAAATCACCGCTGAGGGGAATGGCCACGCCAACAAACGACTTCTCCTCTACCCTCCTCCTGGGATTCTGGGCATGCATGCACACACACACACACACACACACACACGCCTGCAATGAGTTTTAAGCTGCCAGGTTTGGGACTCGAACTATGGTCAGCCACATGGGAGTCCAGCACCTTAACTACTACATGGCCGGTTGTTTGTAAGCTAGTGCAGAACTGTAAACACTGAGAATACCTATAATGAACTAAGTCACAGGCCAAGGCTCCTCTCCGTGAAGAGCCTGCTTCACCCATTTCTTCTAGAACCGATTCATCCCTTCGAATGAAACAGACTCCACAACCTTCTGAAGAAGCGCGTTTATTTACAGAGCTGAAGAAAGGAAAAAGCTCTAGAAATCTAGAAAAAGGACATTTCCAAACTGGCTCCAGCAGAAGCCAGGGGTGCAGTGTGACCAGGTCTGCCAGGGTCTCCTGTGCTCTGTGGCGTCACTTCCAGGTCGTGAGGACGGTCCTCCCCGAGTCTCTGGAGCGGCCGGCCTTGGGTCCGAGTGACTGGCCTGGACGACTCCTCAGCTCTCGGTCAGCCCCGTCGCCCTGGGCCAGCTCCTCATCGTACCTGGCAACAGAAAGGCCTCCAAGGTCAGAGAGCTCTTGCTCGGCGGCTGTGGAGTGGGGCACTGTGCGGGCTGCGGTGTGGCCATCCTGAGACGGGGCCTGGCCTGGCCCCACCCTCCCCTCCGGCCCACCTGCCCTCCCCTACCACTGACTTCAGCAGCCACTGAACTCCACCCAAGGCCACGGAGCCCACGAGCACAACCCTGTGACAGTGTCACTGTGGACAGTCCTGTGAGGCACCTTCTGCAATTGTCAATGATCTTCAGGAGACAAGGACACCAAGTTGTCTGGGGGAGGGCCTAGTGGGCAGGCTGAGCAGCCCCACTGCAGACAAGGAACGGGTGAGGGACCTGCCAGGAGGGGACCAGGACATACGGGGTTGGCAGTGCCCACTGAGAGCGGATGCCACCAGTGTGGCCTCGCCACTCCTCCCTGTCTCCTTTGAGCTGCCTGTTTCCAACTAGCATTTACTAGTGTCTACACCCTAGGTGTCTGTGGGTGCTCCCAAGACGAGGTCCGTGAGGGAAAAATGGCCTGGGCTTCTGCACAAGGGCCCTGACACAGAGCCTTGGTGCCCGGTGGCTTAGCCGTGGCACCTAACAAGCCCCTGGCCGTCCCCCTGTGGCGGGGGTCCCTCATGGGTCCCTGGCTGGCATCTGGTGTAAACCCCCCAGTGCCGGGGCTGCCATGGCGACTTCACACCACCCTCCCGACGCAGAACTGGCCCTTGGAGAGGTGGGCTTAAACTCCGAGAGGTGGGATTAAACTCCGGGCCATCCAATCCCTCGAGTGGGGCTGTGGCCCCAGAGCTGGGGCATGCAGGAGCCTCTCTGACGGTGGCTGAAGGGTGTCGCAGGCGTGAGCTGCTGCACTGGGCAGAGGACCCTCGGTTGCACGTGGACATTCATCAGACAGAAGCCAGGTCAGTGCTGGCTGGATGGCAACGCGCTGGCTACAGGAAAGGGCATGGTGTTACGTTTGTCTCCACATGAAAGCGAATGGTGTTACGTTTGTCTCCAGAGGCGGCATCTGCAGGCGGGGAGGGGGGAGACACTTCCAGGGGGAGGTACGTGTTGTCTGTGCTGTGCCTCGGGGGTGCAGGAGCTGGCAGGCCTGCTCATGGCTGTCCATGGGGTCCACTCTGTGCCGGTGGGGGTCAGGAGACCATGTGGGCTGCGCTCTCCACCTCCGCTCCATGAGATGTGATTGGACCAGGTGAGGAGGCTGGGCCGACGACTGCCCAGGAGGTCCTGGCCCCTCCCACAGTGCAAAAAACCCACCCCATGCTGCGAGAGGCCCTGAACTCCCCCTTCGCCTGTGGTCACTCTTGCCCTGTCTGCGTCTGCGTCCCTGGCCAAAGGGCTGGTGTGACCCTGCCTGTCTGGATGGAGGTGGCCTCAGCACCTCCCTCACGGTGGGACGAGAACTGCTGAATGAATACGGAAAGGACCGCGTGGGGTCAGTTTGTCACAGTGCAGTGCCACAGGACAGCACAAGGCCGGCGGCTGGCAGGCGGCTGCTCTCGGGGCTCACGCGGCTCAGTGCTCTGGAGAGCAGACCAGGTTCTGACGGGCAGACTGCGGGCACCGTCAGGCGTGGGCAGCACTGTTTGAAGGCTGCAGAAGTGCAGTAAGACTTGAGAGCTGGCCTGGGGCAGTTCCAGGCCGCAGTAAGACTTGAGAGCTGGCCTGGGGCAGTGGCAGTTTTCACAGTGCCAAGGCCAGGACAGCCCTGGGGGTGACAGCAAGAGCGCCTGTTCTGGGGGTTGTCGCTGCCGGAGTGACCCTGGCCAGTGCTCTCACACCTCCGGCTTCATCTTCTTTCACGGTGTGTCTGGGAGGGTTGTTGGGATGCTGTCCCAAACGTGAGTGCCTGGGGACAGGGACAGGCATGCCCTCAGATGTCAGGGCATCTGGCATCGGCTCCGCCCCAGAGCCGTTACATCGTGAGAAGGGGGACGGCTACACCAGCTGGGGCAGGGTCGCCTGTCCGCCTCTTCAACTAAAGTCCTCGGTCTGAGCCGGCTCCTTAACCTGGAACCTCAACTTGGAAATGGTGCATCCAGCCCACCAGGAAGGGGTCGTGGGCAGGACAGGCAAAGCCAACACTGCCTGGCTCATCAGGGCAGCCTCCCTGCCAGCCCTGGCTGCGGTGACTTGAGGCCAAGCGCCTCACCTTGTCCCCTCTCGATGCCAACACACAGAAGCCCTCAGGACTGGGCCATGGCCTCCCCTCCCAAGTGCCAAGCCCAAGTGGCTCCAACATGCCCCAGTCAGATGCCACCCGCAGTGTGCTCCGCTGTGTGTGTGGTCACCTGCAGGCCTGCACTGCGCACGGTGCCCTGAGACACCCTTTCACTTCCTTGCTTTCCCGGGAGATGCCGCCTGCCCTGCAGCCCCCGCACACAGCACTGCTTTCTCACCACCATGTCCTGGGCCTGGGAAGGCCTCTTCTCTAACAGCCCTCTCCTCCTTCCAAAGCCAGAACCACCCCACCCTTCCTATGTGCTCACCTCCAGGCCACTGTCCCTAGGTCTTTGGAGATCTGGGCTCCCACCTTGTGGTTGCTACCAATGGCAAGAACCAGATGAGACCCCAACTCCCTGCTCTCTGATGGCCTTGTCCACACCCCACCCATGGTGTCCCTACACCACGCCCATTCAGTACCCCCGTGTCCCCACTCCGAGCCCTCACCTCTAACCACTCCGTCCCCAGCTCATGGCCCTTGCACTCCTTTCACAACCCCCACCCGTGGCTGGCAACTGGCTCCTCCCTGCCCTCCCCTACCATCTTCTGCCTGGCAAGCCCCCCACCGCACCCCAGTCACTCCTAACCCTCTGCCCACTCTGCACGTGGGCCAGGCAGCTGGCCGTGGCCAGAGAGGACAATGACCCTACTGACTGGCTGAGCGTGAAGCTCACGACCACCACGTTGGGCTCCCTGGCACTGCCTGGCAGCCCCGCATGTCTCCCTGACCCTGATGACAGGCTGCCGCGTGTGCACGTCAGTGTCACCTCCAGTAGAGCAGGGAAGGCCACATGTGGGCTCTGGGTCCAGGCCCTGCTCAGATCCTGCCAGTAGCACCTCCCGGCTGAGAGCAAGATCTCTGCGTGTGTAGGCCTCACTAAATTATGCTTCCTGTGTTCTTATTAAGTTTGCGATGGAATGCAGTTTTGCTTTTAAAGCGGTGTGTCAATGTGATCTGACGTGCACCACCACACGCGTCACCTCTGCACAGAGGCCTGAGGTCACTGTTGACCATTCAAGGACAAAAGCATCCACCTTCCTCTGCAACTCATTCCTCAGCCTCTAAGGCCCCCAGCCCAGCGACATGTCAGCCTCCCTAATGGCCACCTGCTATACCCAGGCACAATGAACCCTGCTCTCCAACACCTGCTCTCCATGTGGGCCCTGTTCCCACCTTCTGTCACCACCGACGCGCCACTCAACCTCGCTAGGGTTGTTTCCACACCTGTACAATGGAGCTAAGTACCTACCTCCTCAGCATGTGGGGAAAGCAGAGGCGGCAACGTGGGCAAAGCACCTGGCACGTTGCTGGCACGTGGTGAGCCCTCAGAGCTGAGTGGTTGTGACCACCTCCCCTCCCAGCTCTGCCCGGCAGGCTGGTGTGCTCCACTTACAGGGGTGTAAACCGAGGCCCAGGAGGTGCAGCGAGTTCCTCCAGGTCACAGGGCTCTACATGACGGGGCCAGGGACCTGCTGCAGATGAGTGCCACGTGCACCTGCTCCTGCCATCCCTGCTGCCAGCGTGGGCCTGGCACGAGTGGTAGGGTGCTGCTGCTGCATGAAGGTGGAGCTACAGGGGAGGCCTGGGTTCAGTTCCCAGATGCACCTGAAACAGGCCAAGTGTGGTGACACACACCCGCGGTCTTTGCCAGCTGGGAGGCCAGGCCGGGTCGTGCCCTGGTGAGACCCTTGGACACACAGGGAGCCTGTTTCTCCGTCTCTCTCATAAAAAGAATAGACAAAGGTCTAGTGTGGGCCCAGAATGCTCTTCGGCTACAACATGATCCACCCCATAGCGTCACTGATAAATGAAATGGAGAAGCCCACACACACCCAGAAAGCCCAAACATGGCCCGGCACACTCAGTCGGAAACACGCGGATAAATGAAATGGAGAAGCCCACACACACCCGGAAAGCCCAAACATGGCCCGACACACGCACGTCGGAAACACGCCAAACTTACAGGATTTCGTAATTGCCCAGCACTTCCTTGGGCGGGGACTTGTTCCACTTGCAGTCTGGGATCTCGCCGTTAGGGACGGCGATGTTGAGCGTGTCGTTGATCAGGTTATACTTAAGGATTCGGTCGTTGGCGGTGCTGGAGGTGAGAGATGGGGACGCGTTAACCTAGGAGAGGAAAAAAGCCCGCGTTCTTCACTTGGCCCACCTTCTCCTCTGGAAAGAAGATGTGCACTCAAAGAAAATGCTGGCTGGGGCCACCAGGTGGCATGGTGGTTAAGGCGCTGGACTCCCACGTGACCAATCAGGGTTCGAGTCCCAGACCTGGTGGCTTGCTTTCTCACTTTTCCTGTCTCTCTTCGAATTAAAATAAAATAATTCTGAGAGAGAGAGAGAGGGGGGGAGAGAGAAATAAAATAAGTAAATGCATGCTGCTAAGCTGTCATTGTCTGGTACAGCTGATACCCAGCACCTGGGAGCACCTCGTGACGGAAGCATGTGGTGACCACATTTATTAGCTGCTTGGTGAAAGACAAATCGTATTGAAAATGGGGTTAGGACTATGATCTACAGATCGGCTACCCCACAAATAGAAAGTTGGAGTCAGTGTACGACACACACAACTACACAACTTCAGGCCTGCACCAGTAAGGTAGTGCTTGGCCTCACCGAGATGCCCACACAGTGGCACAGCAGTACTGCAACACCCTGACCTACATGGGAAGGTCCTGGGTTTGAGTCTCAAGGCCTCTCGGTATACACCAAGCTAGAGATCCAGGCTGGCTTGGGCTAGATCGTGGATCATGACCTGAAGACTCTATTGGGCCATCTCTCCTTTCTCCCTCTCATGGAAGAAATAAACACACTGTGGAAAATAAAAAAGAAGAGGGACCAGCCAGGGGGCATGGTGGTAAGGGCAGCTGGAGCCCACATGGCTGATTCTGCAGTTTGAGTCCTGGACCCAACTGGCTTGAAAAACGCTCCGGGTACCTGTGTGCCCAAAACTCTGAGAGGAGACTGGAGGAGAAGGGATAAGCGGCTCCAGAGTGGTCACCCCCTTGTGCGATGACTTCTCACTTTCTGTCTCTCTGGCAATGACATGCACTCTGTAGAAAATTTTAAAAAATAAATAAAAGCAAACATTTACTCCATAGGGAGCCTGAGGCCCTCAGTCACCTACTTACTCCCATTCTAGGCACAGTTCTGGGAAAATGAAATATAGACACACAGAAATAAGAGTTCAAAAACAGCAAAGAGGGAACCAGCAGTTAGTGTAATGGCTATGTCACTGGACTCCCATGTAGTCGATCGTGGTTCGCGTCCCGGACCCAGTGGCTTAAACTCACGCCAGGCGTGTGTGCGTGCATGCCCAAGATCCCGAGAGGAGAATGGAGAAGGGATTGTGGCATGGCCATCCCCCCTGGGGGGGGTGATTTCTCGCTTTCTGTCTCTCTGTCTCTGTCTGTCTGTCGAGCACACATGCCCTATAGCAAAAACCTCTCTAAAAAAAAAAAAATTACTTATTTAATTTTATTTATTCATTCATTTATTTTAATTAGACCAGAGAGAGAGAGGAAGCAAGAAAGCAAGCCACCAGATTCAGAACTTGAACCGTGGTCAACCATGTGGGAGTGTCCAGTGCCTTAACCAACACGCCACTCATTGGTCCCTCGTGTCTCTCTATTAAGCACATGTGCCCAATAGCAAATATTAAATTAATTAATTAATTAATTTAAACAACAACAGAATGTTCCTAAAATTTAAGGAAAAAAATCACTGCAGTTTGCAGGGGGTGGGGGCAGGCGGGGCAGCAGGGCTTCAAAAAGTCAGAGGAAGGGCCAGCCAGTGGCATGGAGTCTGGTCCCATATGGCCGACTTCTTGGTTTGAGTGGCCTGAAACACAGGCGGGCACCCCAGCCACCTAGCTCATCTGCAGGTGACCATGGACCCTGCTGTGGGCTGAGCCCATGGGAGGGGAGCAACCTGGGGGCACACTCCGGTTCCAACCCTCAGCCCGCTGTGAGGCTGAGCACCCGTCCCAGTCTTCCTGCCTGGCCTGGGGACTGCAGAGCCCACTTCAGGGCAGAGGCAACTGGGGAGGGGCCGTGTGCGGGGTTCCCGGGGTTACCTCGATCAGCCAGGGCTTCAGCTTGTCGTCGATGATGATGTCGTAGCCGTAGCATTCGAAGCAGTGCTTGTCATTGTTCATGACTGGCTGTGGAGACAGGGACCGGCAGTTACTCGGCCAGTAGCAAGGCCCGGCTGAGACCAGCACCTGGGCACCACAAGGTCCCAGGGCCCACCTTGTGTCCTGCGCCAGGTCCCTCTCACGCACCTACTTCCCTGTCTGCCTCTGGCCTCTGAAAACGACATACCCAGAGCCAGCATGTGGTGTAGTGGTTACTGTGTAGGACCTCCATATGGCCAGTTGTGGTTCGAGTCCTAGATCCAGCAGCTTGAAACTCATGCCGGACATATGTGCATACATGTCTGAAATCCCAGGGGAATGAGGGAGAGGGGATTGTAGCGTGGCCATTCCCCAGGGGTGATTTCTCATTTTCTCTCTCTGTGTCTCCAGTGAGCACACGCATCCTACAGCAAAAAAAAATTTTTTTTTAAAAAAGACATACCCAATAAAAATTGGGAGAAAGAATAAAAGTAGGATAAATAAATCCTTGTTCCAGAGACCCTCACAGCTTTAGAAGTCCAAGCCTTTTTCAGCTCAGGAAACTGAGACCCTGGAAGAAATCCTGAGGCACGTACCAGAGGGGTAGGTTTTCTCAGCCCACTTTTTCTCGAAGCTCTGCAGTCCATGGGAGACTGAAATGGGTCGAGGAAGGCCAGGTGGTAGCACAGTGTAATGCAACTGGACCCATGTGGGCAAGGTCCTGGGTTCGTGTCCTAAGACCTTCCTGAGCAAGCCGGGTGCCTGTATGTGTGCACAGTCTGACCCGAGCAAGCCGGGCGCTTGTGCGTGTGTGCACGGTCTGACCCGAGCTAGCCGGGCGCTTGTGCGTGTGTGCGCGGTCTGAGCCGAGCAAGCCAGGCGCTTGGGCGTGTGTGCGCGGTCCGACCCGGGGCACGAGCAAGCCGAGTGCTTGTGCGTGTGTGCGCGGTCTGACCCGAGCTAGCTGGGCGCTTGTGCGTGTGTGCGCGGTCTGAGCCGAGCAAGCCGGGCGCTTGTATGTGTGCACAGTCTGAGCTGGGGAGGCTAGGGTGGATTGTGACATAAAGACCCTGCTGGGGCCTCACTCTCATGGAAGAAATAAAAAACTAGGCAAGAAATGAAGTGGAATTCGGGGCTAGTATTTTTTTTTAAGTCTTTTTGCTTAGGGTGTGTGTGCTCATGGGAGAGAGACAGAGAGATGGAGTGAGAGGGAAAGTGAGAAGTCACCACCCAAGAGGAATGCCCACATCACAAGTCCCTTCTCCTCTACTTCCTCTTAGGATTTTAGGCATGCATGCACATGTGCCCAGTGTGTTTTTCTTTCTTTCTTGTTTTTTGAGAGTATTTTTTAATTTTATTTATTTTTTTGCTATAGGGTATGTGCACTCTCTGGAGAAACACATACAGAGAGAGACAGAAAGAAAGAAATCACCCCCAGGCAATCCTTTCTCCTCCATTCTCCTCTTGAGATTTTGGGCACACATGCACACATGCCCCGAGTTTCAAGTTGCTGGGTCAGGCACCTGAACTGCAGTCAGCCACATGGGGGAGTCCAGTGCCTTAGCCACTGTGCCACCTGCTGGCCCTGCTCCGTGTGTTTTTCAAGCTGTGTAGGGTCCAGAATTAGAACCACATAGTTGGCCACGTGGGATCCAGTGCCTTAACCACCATACCACTCGCTGGCCCGAGGGATAGTTTAATTGGGCTAATTTAATTAAGATTCACACAACTGAGTCCAGATGGTGGTGCAGCAGTAACAGTGCTCTGTGACGCTTCACCCACACCGGAGGGTCCTGGTTTGCATCCCAGGGCCTCCCTGAACACACTGTGCGCACATGCCTCTCATCCAGGATGGCTGAGGTGGGGTCACAGGCACAGACCCTGCTGGGACGGTCCCTCTCTCTCTCATGGAAGAAACATGTGAATTAAAAAAAACAAACAGGTTCACATCTTCCTATGTTAGTAGACTGACAGCATATAACCCTTCTGGGTGGTTCCGTTAAGCTCTGCAGAGCACTGTCCTGTGACATGGGGATTGGTCCCAGACATCTAAGACTAAGGGAGGCGGTGGGCTCCATCCGGGGCTCCCGCCCTGCCACCTGCCCCCTGAGCTGCCAAGGTACAGGGAGGCTTCAATGGGATGAGAGGTGAGGAAGTCGACCCCTCAGGAGTCTATCAGCAAACCAAGTGCACGCTCACACAGCAGCTCAGAAAGCAGGAAGAGCTTCGCCCGAGACAGAAGTCGGGGCTCACGCGGTCACCTCCTCCTGCCCGTAATTCTCATCACACACTGCCTGCATAAAGCCGTTCACACAGGAAGGCGTGGTACATGCTGGCGTGTTTGACGGTAAAGCAGGAGAGAAATGGAGCCTTCGTATAAATACTTACATGCCCGCCCTGCTGCCAGATGTGCACCCCACTTCTGAAGAACATGACTCCACACTCTGGCTCCATGGAGGGGACACGTTTCTCCACCCCGCCCGTCCCTGTGTGGGACACCTGCTGCAGACTGACCCTGCATGGCTTTTGCTTTGACTTGGTGGTGGGTCTTAAAGCTTTTGAAGCTTTATGAAGTACCTTTATTAAAGAGATGGGATGTAGCCTGCCCCACCACATGCACACACACGCACACCACGCACACCACACATGCACACACACACACGCACACAGCAGTATGGCCACCCTGACCAGGCAGAACAGACCAGCTGCCCTCCAGGAGCAAGAAAAGACCACTAGAGGGAGTGGAGAGCAGGGCTACCGTGAGCAGAGGGTCTGCCCTGCTGGCCCCACACCCGCTGGCCTGGCTCGCTTCCCAGGACAGGTGGGCAGTGCCGTGCTCACAGGTGTTCACAGCGAGAGAACAGTGAGCAGCTCCCACTGCCCGAACCCTCCTGGGAGGCCCTGGCCAGCTGGATGGCTCCGGCTCTGCCGGGCTCCCAGGGCTCCCCCCAACCTGGCACCTACCGCCACGGCCTTCAGGGACTGCACGATGATCCAGTGGATCTCATCAAACAGCTTGCTGGTCACCTCCCGGCCGCGGGTGCTCTCCAGGTAGAGCCGCAGGTTGCTCACCGTCCACTTGCCCCCGTGGATGTGGTTGTAGTCCTCCTGGGGAGGAAGACAGGGTGAGGGTGGGAGGGCCTCGGGCTGTGACCCCAGGAGGTCCACCACCTTCTCCAGAGCCTCCTGGGTGTGGGCCTGCAACAAGGCAGACTGACTGCTCCAGGGAGATGCAGGCCTCTTGAACGTCCATATTTTTAGGTGCATGATCCGATACTCCCTTCACGAATCACATGCACCTCGTGGCTCACGCTTTGGTGCCACTCATGCCCCCAACACCACAGCGCTCCTTCTTTCAGCAGGGACCCACCTGGGACTTGCCCTCAGTCGCAGGGGGCTGCCCAGCCCAGGGTTATGCCTCCCCTTGGGGCGGCCAGCATCTGTGGCCGGTGGACGCACAGTCAGCGCAGGGTGGGTCTGGCCTGCCTCTGGGACTGCTCTGCAGCACCCCTGGGCTCGGTCTGTGCCTAGGTGCAGCCACATCAGAGCTGGGGTCTTCTCCGGTGCTACTCCTGGCACCGGGCCCCAGTAAACCTCCCCGGGGTCTCCCTCCTGAGGAAAGGAGCCTAAGGTCGCTGTGCACTACCGTGCTTTGTTTTTTCAACTCGTGAGAGAGCACAGGTACACGTATCAGGGAGAGAAACACCCTCAACAGGGGCCCACCAGCACGGTCCCCTCACCCCACCCCTGCTCTTTAGCACCTAGGACACGCGCACACGCCTGGTGTACTGCAGTGCTATGATTTCATTTGTTGGTTGGTTTGGATTTTTTTTCAGTTTTTTTTTTTTTTTTTTGCTATAGAGTGCACACGCTCGCTGGTGAGAGAGATGAGTGATGGAAAGTGAGGAATCATTCCCTGGGGGAATAGCCACGTCACAATCCCCCTGCCCCATTCTCCTCTCAGGATCTTGGACACGCATGCACACACATGCACACACACACACACACACACACACACGGCGTGTTTCTCAGGCTGCCAGGTCCGGACTCCAGCTACACAGTCAGCCATGTGGGATCCGGCGCCTTCTCCACTCCGCCCCCTGCTGGCCCCGCGGCCTCACAGAGGGCTGGCACTGTCCGCTCACAGGGAAGGCGTGGGCTCTTTCTAGCCCGTCCTCCCCTGGGTTAGCATGGCCAGGGCCCCCTAGACTTCTGATGCCAGGCTGGCATCTCGCGTCTCCACACCTGCTTGCCTTTGGCGGCAGAGAAGACACCAGAGCTGTTCAAATGCTGGAGACTGGAATTTCACTTTCTAAGAACAAAGCTGAAAACCGGGAGCCCAAACAAAGCCAGTCTAATAATGAACAAACACCATCCCTCAAATGCAGGCTTTGCTTCATATAAAACCAAGACCCTTCCCGCCCGTCACAGATCCCTTCTACCACCGAGAAAAGCCGGTGCTCCCCTTAGAGCTTAGCTTAATGGCTACACAGCTGCCATTCTGAAAGTGAACGCGCTCTGGAGGTGGAGGGAGCTGAGTGCTGACGGCTGCCACCGACAGAATGGTGGTCCCAGGTGGTGGCATGGTGATGTGCTACTGGACTCGTGCAGGAAAGGTCCTGGGTTCACATCCCGGGGCTTCCCTTGCAGGGCACAGGCCCATGTATGTGTGCCTGGGATTCGGGTTGGCTGGGATGTGGACGGGGTCAGTGTGGGGACCCTGTGGGGTGCCTGCCTTCTCTGTCTATCTCATGGAAGAAACCAATGAATACACTTAGAAAAGTAGTTCAAGTGGTAAATTCTGTTACGTATAATTATGAAAAGTTCTAGACTATGAAGGATAGATGGCAAAATACCATCTCTCATACGTGTAGATAAAAAGCAGAGAACTGTCTTTCATTTTTTGGTCTACAGGAACATAATTTGGCCAATTACCTCAGAACATTTTCTCAAATTAATCAGCAAACATTACGCCTGCCTTTCCTTCCCTTCTCTGCCTGCTGCCCTGGCCGTCCCACCCTGCAGTCAGGCTAGCCCGTGCCCACACAGCCCTGGGACCGCCTAGTACTGGTCACCTTTTGCGACAACCTGTCCCCTGCGCTGCTGCTCCCCAGAGGTGCAGCTGATCTTCCAGATTCAATGGTGTATCTACTGTTTATTCCATTCTAATTTTTTAAATTTAAATTTTGCCAGAGTGCACATGTGCACCAGAGAGAAGCAGGGAAGGGGCAAAGCACCCCCGTCAGGGCATGGCCCTCCTGCATTTCTCCCCGTCAGGACTTCAGGTGTGCACACGCACGTGCCTGGCCTGTCTCTCGAGCTGCCGAGGCTAGGGTGCAGGCTGTGCACCCAGCTATGTGGTCTCCAGCTCCCTTACCCATCAGGCCATGGGGCCAAGGACGGCTTCCCCTCAAAATTAAAACCTGGACTTAGAGTCATCGTTTTCTCACGTTGAAAGGCGCCAATAAGGCAGGGCCAGTAGGCAGCATGGTGGTTACAGTGCAGGAACACCACATGGCTGACAACGGTTTGAGTCCTGGACCCAGTGGCTTGAATATCACAACAAATAGATAGACAGGTAGGTAGACAGATGAATGAATGAATGAATGTTAAAAAAAAAAAAAAAAAAAAAAGAAACAAGAATGGATAGGTCTTTTAAAAGATGGTAGAAAAAAGAAAAAAAAGAATAAATTTAAAAAAAAAAAAAAAAAAAAAGGTGTCCCGGCACTGCACTTCCCATGGCTGGCTGCACTTCGAATCCCAGACTGGGGGCTTGCTATTTTACCTTTCCTCCTTTTCTCTCTCTGGTCAAATTTATATAACAATAATCATAATCAATAAAATAAATAAATACTTATTTTTAAAAAGGCATAGTATTAGGGGCTGGCAAATAGCATGGAGATTAAGGTGGATGGATCCCACATCGCTGACTGTGTGGTTCGAATCCTGGACCCAGTGGCTTGAAAAAACATGCTGGGTATGTATGCCCCAAATCCAGAGGAGAAGGACTACAGCTTGGTCATCACCCTTGGGGAGTACTTCGCTCGCTCGCTCTCCAGCAAGCGCATGTGCCCTAAGGCCAAAAAAAAACAGTGTGACATTGACAGAAAGCCTCACGGAAACACTGCCACCTCGAGGAGATGCCACACTCACAGGCTACCCACAGTCACCTGTTCTGGGGACTTTAAAGTGGTTTCTCTTTCTTTCTTTTCCTTTTTTCAACAAATTTTTGCCAGAGTATGCGTGTACTTGCAGGAGAAAGAGAAGAAAGTGACAAAGCACCTCCACGGGGAAGGGTCAGGCCACAATCCCTTCTCCTCCGTCTCTCCCACCTTTCAGGGCTTTGGGCGCACACACATGTGCCTAGTGTGTTTCTAAAGCCGCCGGGTTCAGAGCCTGAGCCACATGACTGGTCACGTGAGACCCAGCAGCCTCAACCACCATGCCACAGGCTGGCCCTGTTTCTTACTGATGGGAGTAAGTGACCCACCTGAGTAGTTCCTGGGAAGGCCCCTCCTGGTTTCAGTGTGGAAGCCCAGACCACGGAGGCCTGACGGCTGAGATGCCTGCCCTGTCCTCAGGGACATGGTCAGGTCCCCCCTGCCCTGTCCCCTGCAGTATAGACGGCTCCCTGCTATGAGGGCTCTCGGGAGGCGGGTGGTGTGGGCTGCATCACCTGAAGGGTCGTCTTCCCAAATCTCATTAAGGCCTTGGGTGAATCCAAGTCCTTCCTACCCTACCCTGCAGAGCTGTGGCAGGCCCGCCATGCTGGCACAGCAAGGCAACTCTGCGGTGCTGAGCCCACATGGGAAGGCTCCCGGTTTGCACCCCGAGGCCTCTCTGTGGACCCCAGTACATGGGCCTGTGACTTGGGCTGGCCAAAGCTGAGGCTGGAGGTGCCTCTCAGTATGAAGCCCCTGTTGGATGCCCGTCTCCATCTGTCTCTCTGTCTCTCTCTCCTGGGAGAAATAAATACACAAACTGAAAGTTGTAATAATGCCTTCTTTTTTATTTATTTATTTATTTTTTTTTTTGGAGAGATTTTCACTGTAGGGCGCGTGCACTCGCCAGACAGACAGAGAGAGACATAGAGACAGAAAGCGAGAAATCACCCCCCAGGGGGGATGGTCACGCCGCAATCCCTTCTCCTCCATTCTCCTCTCGGGATCTTGGGCACGCACGCACACGCGCCCGGCGTGAGTTTTAAGCCACCGGGTCCAGGACACGAACCACGGTCGACTACGTGGGAGTCCAGCGACATAGCCATTACGCTAACTGCCGGTTCCCTAATAATGCCTTCTTGTGTTGCTCTCAGGAAAACCTGGTGGGCAGGGGGAGGGATGACAGCCTGACTTGGAAGGTCCCTTGGGCCCTCAGTCAATGGTGGCCCTCGACATTTCATGATTAGTAAGGTGAACCCAAGGCTCCCGTTGGCCAATATGAGCCCCCGAGGCTAGGGACCCTTCCATAGCCCCCAGAGGTGGGTGACAGCCTTAGGATGGAGCCAGTCTGGTGTCACCAAACTCTGTAGATTATTCAGCAAGTTGTTTCACCAATACTCTCTCTCCTCTCTAATTATGGAAAGAATGGGGCATCTAGCATCCATTCAATTCAGAGTCAGTTAAGGCCTTCGGTCTTTGAGCACCAGCTTAGAGCCTGAAAGCTGAGCAGGCCTGCACACCCTGCGGGCCTGCCCTCGCTGGCCTCCCCAGGCCCTGTACACCCTGCGGGCCTGCCCTCACTGGCCTCCCCAGGCCCTGCACACCCTGTGGGCCTGCCCTCACTGGCCTCCTCAGGCCCTGCACACCCCGCAGGCCTGCCCTTGCTGGCCTCCCCAGGCCCTTCCCTGCACGCCTCCGTCCCACCCTGACTTCCTCTGGCTCCTACAATGCTCCTCCTGCCACAGGGCCTGGCACGCACTGTACCCCTCCCAGGGATCTTTCCTACACCCTCTGGTGGCCCCGTTCATACGTCAGATCCCGGCTCAAGCACCACTTGTGCGGGGAAGCCTTCTCTGGACACTAAGCCCTGGGGTTTCTCCGTTCTGTGCTATTGCAAGTGTGAGTTCCCACCTTCCGAGCATGCAGCCCCATCTGTTATCACACCCTCACGGGACCGCTTGGTGAAGGGCTTCCCTCAGAGCTCTGGGCTCCACGGTGTGGGGCTGAGGTAGCTCTTGCCCAGCACTGTGCCCCCGACTCTGTGAGTATGAGGGACAGAATGAGTGACAAAGCATATGTGTCATCACACATAATCCCAACAACCCTGTCACGTAATACACACTGTCTCCTTTTACCAACGGGGACACCGAGGCTGCAAGAGTTAAACCCACTTGCCTGAGGTCACAGAACGAGAAAGGGGCTCGGACACGAGGCCTTCTTCTTCCAAGTGCCCTCCCCAGGCCTCGCCAGGCTGGTGTGCAGCTGAGGTGCCCCAGGACAGCCGCCCCTGAGGCTTCACACTCCCAGTCCTGTCGGGGCCAGGGCCTCAGGGCAGGGCATATCCTGAATATCCCTCCTGTCCCCCTCACAAAAAACGCAACGTGGAAGAGACCCAGGAGGGCCATGCACTCCCTGCATACTCACCCCATGCTTCTGGATGGCCACGTTGGTGAGATGCACAAACATGTTGTCCAGCTCGCTGGTGCTTGGCGTGTATTTCACCGTGCAGAACCGGCAGAAGCCAAGCTTATACCTAGGTGAGAGGTGAGACCCGGTCAAACTGGGGAGAAGCTCGAATAAAGTGTGCTGTTTCACTCTCAAAAAGAGCTACTTCTTGTTTTTCTTATGTGTGTGCACGCGTGCGCGTGTGCATGCATGCGTGTGTGCATGTTTTTTGAGAGAGATTTTTGCTACAGGGTGCATACACTTGCCAAAGAGACAGAGAAAGACGGAGACAGAAAATGAGAAATCACCCCCTACAGGGGATGGCCATGCGAAATCCCTTCTCTTTCATTCTCCTCTTGGGATTTTGGGCAAGCACACACGTGTGCTTAGCGTGAATTTAAGCCATGCAGGACTCGAACTTGGTGACTATGTGGAAGTCCAACAACATAACCATTACGCATGTGCAGGTCTCGCTGTGTCTTCATTCTCCTGCTTCAAGTAGCTGGGACCACAGGCACACACTACAGCACCCAGCACTTCTAGGGTGGATGGGAGTCGGACCTGGGCTCCCAGGTGGGCTCAGCCTGCCACTACAGCGGAACCTGTTTTAATGTTTTTGCTGTTGTTGTTTTTAAGTTTTTGCCACTGGACACTTGCCAGAGAGAGAGAGGGAGACAGTGAGAAGGAAAGTGAGAAATCACCTCCTGGTGGGATGGCCACACCACAGTCCCTTCTCCTCCATCCTCCTCCTGAGATTTTAGGAACACCCACACACATGCTCAGCATGATTTTCTAGGTCTGGGATTTGAACCAGTCAGCCATGTGGGAGTCCAACACCTTAACCACTATGCCATCCGCTGGCCTGTTTAAAATTTTTAAAAGAGCTACTGTCGGATTTGTGAGACTCACGTTAGCGTCAAGACTAACAGCCTGTGCTCTCAAAACAACCTCTGAGACGGCTACTGAGTTAAGTAAATTTATGAGTTTATATTGTGTTTAATGTCTCTGCATATCCTCCAGTGTTTAACCTTAAAAATTAATTGTTTTCATTTATTGTGAATTAAATATTAGAAGAAAATTTATTTACTTTTTATGAAGCATATGGCACGAGTTTTTTGTTTTGTTTTATTTTTTAGAAGTTTTTGCTGTAGGGCTCATGCACTCGCCAGAAAAACAGAGACAGAAAGCGAGAAATCACCTCCCAGGGAGCTGGCCACGCCGCAATCCCTTCTCCTCCATTTTCCTCTCGGGATCTTGGGCATGCACGCACACGTGCCTGGCATGAATTTAAGCCACCGGGTCCAGGGCTTGAACCGCGGTCGACTACATGGGAGTTCAGCGACATAGCCATTACGCTAACTGCTGGTACCTCTGAATATTTTTTGTTTTTAAGGAAACATATTCTCCAGGCTCTCAAGCCCCTCCTGTAACTTGCTAAGCCATTGCCTTTTCCACTGCCTTGTCAGAGAGGCACACACCAAGGCCCATTCTGAGACGGCTGCTGAACTTGAGCTGTGAAGTACTTTTTGCCTTTTAAAATTAAAATATAAAATTATTTTCTCTTCTTTTCTTTCTTTTTCATAGCTTTTTTCTTCTTTTCTCTTCTTCGCTTTTCTTTTCCTTTTAATTTTATCTTTCGGTAGCTCAGTCTCTACACGCTGAGTGTCTAGGCAGGTCTAAGTGAACAGTATCCAAATCTGATTACTACCAGGGTCAGAATATTCCTCAATTCCCACTCAGTCTGACGCACAAAGAATGAAAAACGGAACAGAAGTGAGATTGCAGATCACCTCCTCCAGCACGCCTCTGAACACTCAGCTCGAACTTGCTTTCTCACTTCTGCATGCGCGCTCTCTCTCTGTCCTTCTCTGGTCAAATTAAAATAAATAAGAAAGTAAATAAAGTTAAATAAAATAATTCTTTAAAAAAGCAAAGAGGGAACCAGCAGTTAGCGTAATGGCTATGT